CGCCGCTCCAGCCGGTGCTCCTTTGGTCTAGTCCCTGCTCCACGCGTTAGGATCCATTTCTATGGTACAGTCAACGACCTCTCCAAATTTGGCAAAATAGTCTTTCAGATCCTCTTTGCTGGTATCCCAGCTCAGGCCACCAACAAACATTTTGTTTTTAAAGCTCATTTGCACTCTTTCTTATACATGTAAGAGCCTCTATGGATTTGTTTCTCTAGTCGACCCAGACCAGACTAACACAATCGTCTTTTAATCTCACAAGAGATACAGGGAAGAACAGGGCGCAGACAAGGAGGGACCCGGCGGCCACAGAGAGAAAGAAGGGCTGGGTGTGGACCTCTTTTGTACCGAGGGCCCCTGAGCTGAGAACCTCCTAGACCCAGAGAAGACGGGTGCCAAGGCACATGAAGATCACCCAGGACTGCTGGGCTCTTAGACATGGGAAGGAGACAGAACTTTCCTCCAGAGCCAACACACAGTGAGAGGAAGCCTTCTTCCCATGGAGCCGGCACTCAGAATCCAGACGTTCAGGCTCTTAGACTGCGAGGGAGCACATTTCTTTAAGGCTATCCATTTGGAGGATTTCTGTTATCCCAGTACAAGATAATGAACCCGTGCTAAACAGCCTTTAAGTCAGCCGTGATAAAAGAATACACACTATCACCAATCCTTGTAAACTCGCCTTTTGACACCACTCTAAACAGCACCGCCCAGTCTCTCGGCTTAAAGAGAAGATCCCTGACCCTGAAGAGAAGACCTCCCAGGCAGACTCAGCTTCGACAGCACCCTGGTCTTAGCATGTGAGGCCAAGATGAGAAATTCACATATAAACCCAGGATTTCTGCTCACTCACTGAGAGAGCTACAAGAACTCAAACCCAAACCCAAGCGGGATCCACTGCCATTGAGTCGGTGCCAACTCACATGGACTCTTCAGGGCAGGGTGGAAACCGTTCCTGTGGGTTTCCAAGGCTATACATCTTTCCTAGAGCAGACAGTCTCCTCTTTTTCCGGAAGAGTGGCTCATAGATTCGAACTGCTGACCTCTTTCAATTAATGAGCAAAGGCGTCACTCAGAGGACAGAGGTGCCTGGCCCAGACGGTAGCGTTTCCCATGGTCTCACCTGCACGGGAGCTAAAGGAGGAAGTCTGGAGGAAAAGGGGACGGTGTCGGTGAGGAAGACGGAAAGCACCATGGTGTGCCGCAGGAATAAACGGTCACCGGTCACC